GTCATTGTGGGGACACCAGTCGATGTCCAGGACGGGTCCCGTGTGTCCACACACCGTCGGGTAGGCCTTGTCGATGCGGCCCGTCTGCGGGCATGAGAGGGGCAGTCAAGGGTGAGCAGGAAATGTTTGTTGCCTCTGCCTCTGCCTCTGGCCCTGACTCTGCCTCGGTGGCAATAAAAAACTTTCTCCATCTGTGCTAATACCACCTGGGCAATAAATGTAGTTTATGACACCTGTCCAACAGTGTGGGGATGGGCGAGATACGGAATGTGAAGTGAGCAGATAGGCCTGGCAGGTGTGGCCGAGTCTCCAGTCCTTCCCCCAGCCCTGATGGGGCCCACCTTGCTTAGGGGAAGCACCAGGAAGGCACCCCCACCGCTGGCCTCCACGATCACCGCCAGGAACTTGGGGTTGACTGCGCAGAAGGTGCTGTCCCAGGTGACACGGGACACTCGAATATCTTCGTAGCACTGGTCATTCTTGACCGGCTGTCCGAACACATGCCGGAATTTGCTCTGCCGGACCACTTTGCGGAAGGACATGTCTGCAGGGCGGAGAGGCCTGGATCAGCCCTCACCCACCCCAACAACCCCCATCCCTCCCAGGGGCTGCATGAAGGGAGGTTGGGAGGATGCAACCAGGGGCCTGGTCATTGTAACCCTCTTGGCTTTCAGTTTCTCCAGTTACAGAATGGGGTCACAGGGACAGACCCTGGCTGCCACCCCTCTAAGGTGACATCGGGGGGGGGGGGGGGGGCACTGACCCCCGGCCCACACTGCTGAGTGGGGAGGGGCTTTGCGGAGACCCTACCCAGGCCCCTCCCTGACTCTGGTATGTGTGGGGGAAGTGAGAGGTGCCAAAGCAGGGCAAGCTCCTCGGAGGGTCCTAGTCAGTTGCAAGCAGGCTCCTTCCTGCCCAGGATTTGGAAGTTGGCTGATGGGTTGGACAACCGCAAGAGGCAGGAAAGGACTCCTCTGTGGAGCCGCACTCGGCCCCAGTTCCGAGCCCCAGGGAATGTGCAGTGCCTGCAGGAATGTGCAGGGAGCTGCCGGGAGCCCCAGGCCGGCCCAGGGGGCCTGGCAGGACTGGGCGGGGGGGAGGGGGGTGGTCAGGACGCCTATCTCGGCCGCAGAGCATCCCAGGGCGCCTTCGGAGCGGGGTCCAAGGTGAACCAAGAGGGGACAGGCTGGGTGGCCACAGGGAGTGGGGACAGAGGGTGGGGCGCCGCGGAGGGGAAGGGCTCCTCGGACTCGCGACCCCCACCCCAGCCTCCTGCGGCCCCGCCCCCGCAGCCCAGCCGGGTCCCCCGCCCGCGACCCCAGTCCCGGCCCGCCGCGCTCACCGGGGACGCCGGGGACTGCGGCACCGGCCTCGGGCGGCTCCGGATCCCGGCCTCTGGGAAGCAGGAAGCGGGAATCAGGAAGTGACAGAGGAGCCGGGGGCAGGGGGCGGGGGGGCGGGGCGGGGGCTCGCGGGGGCGGGGCCGAGGTCACGCGCGGAGGGGCGGGGCGGAAGACTGCGAGCCGCCCCAGGAGGCCAGGAGCACGGGGGCCACGGGGGCGCAGGGGCGGGGCCTGGGCGAGCCCTGCCCCTCAGGCACCCGGGCCCCTCTAGGGCAAAGGAGCAGGGGTGGGGCCAGAGGGGCTGCAGGTGCGAGGCGCTTCCCGCCCGCAGACCGCTGCCCCTTCGCCATCCTCTCCTCTGGCGGAGCCCTCGGGAGTACGGGCATTGGGTGCAGCCCGCCGTCCCAGTCCCCATCCCCATCCCGGTGCATTCTTCCGGGTCCCCCAGCCCAGCCCCCCACCCACTCCAAAAATACAGTATCTAGTCTGACAGCCCGTATGTTCACGTGCCTCTTTTTAAGGGTTACAAAAGTACACGCTCTTGATGAACAGTGTAAATGCACCAGCGGTGCGGTGTTTTAAGGGGTGAGCGGAAGGCCCCAGCCAACCCCTTCTTTCCCCTGAGCACCCCCGGGGTCTGCCGGGCCTCCTTATTAAAAATAGAAATGGGGACATGCCCTCTGCCAGATCGCTCACCTTCCTTTCTCTTCCCGACCATCTCCCACGGAGGCCTAGTGGTCTGTCTGCAGATGTCTCCCTCCTAGCTAGCTCCTGTGACGGGGCCCAGACTGGCCTCCCTAGGTCTACCCTATCTCTGTCCGTGTCCCACCCCGGGGGGACTTAGGTGTCTCTGTAGGTCGGACAGGCAGATCTGCCCCCTCTTCCCCGGGGCTGGTGTCCCCAGGGCACTGGCCGCCTCCCTCAGTCCTTCCTTGAGACCCTGATCATCACCCCTTGGTCACCTTTTTCTTTTTTCCCAGAAAAAGGGGGGTAGGTGGGAAGAAGAGGGAAGAGCAAAGCTAGAAGGGGGCTCGTCTGGGGCTGCAGGAGGCCCCACTGTGTGTCTGACACGGGCTGGGGCTCGTACCCTACTCACTGCTTTCCTCCCCTGATGAGGAAACAACTCAGAGAGAGGGGTGCCTGCCCCAGGTCACCCCGCCGAGATTTAGTTCCCATCTGTTTGGCTCCAAAGTCCTTGCTTTTCCCTTTGTTCCATAAACCGTGGGGCAGGCAGACCCTTCCAAAAAAGGACAGGAATGAGGGTGCTTTGGAAGAGGGAGTGTCACATCAGCGTCTCTCTCCGTTGCGCCCTCCAGGCAACAGCCAGAGGTCTGTCTAAAGCCCAGATAAGACACCCCCTACCCTAAGCCCTCCCTTCCCTCCCCTTGTCACACTTGAAATAACATGCGCCGTCCATCATCGCATACCCCTTCCCCGTTTGTTACCTTCCTCTGCCCTGTCCCTGCATGTGGCCCAGTGACACTGATCCTCTTGTCCCCGAAACAAACCACCTTCCTTCCCACTGCGGGGCCTGGGTACGTCCTGTTCGCTCCATCTGGAAACGCTTCCCTCAGATTGTGAAAAGGCTCCAACCCTCACTTCCTCCAGGGCTCTGCCCAAATGTTGCCTTCTCAAAGGGCCCTCCCCAACCAACCCCTCACTGGTCACTCTCTGGCCCTGACTTGTTCCCCCCATATCCTTCTGAATCACGATCTGACGTCGTCTTGTGTAACCATTGTGTATTTGCTTTTTGTCTGCCTCGCCCCGCTAGAATGTCAGCAAGTGGAGGGTAGCACCCGGTCTTTGGTCTTGTTCCCCACTGTGTCGAAGCACCTGGAATGAGACCTAGCGCTCAGCATGCATTCAATTCGTGTACGTTGAGTGAAAGAATGAACAGCAGTCCTGAATGTAGGATCGACGATGTTCGTATTCACAGCTCTCAGAATGAGTCTCTCCATGAGGGGTACCTCTCACCTGGAGAAGGCGTGAGTCTCCCAGAAGGCAACAGGAGTCCAGCCCCATGGGGTGTGTTAGGGGTGAGGTAGATGGACTGAAGAATGTCAAGGATGAGCCCTCCTTTCAACCTCTGTGGCCTCGGGTGTGCATGTTTCCTCCAAAACAAAACTCTGTGGGTCACCAGGAGAACTCCTCTTTATCCCACAAAGCCCTTCATGGCACTGCCCTCTCTCCTGGGTCGAGATTACCCATTATGGGTGAGATTCCCCCTCAGGGACCTTGGAGATGGGGCTGCCCCACTCTCCGAAATGCTGGGTTTGGAGTGGGGACCAGAGTTGATGGCAGGTGGCTGGCGCTGGGGTTTGAGTGCCTGATCTGCCCGCTATGTTGAAAAAGCTTTGGGACCGCTATCTGGGAGAAAGGGGAGGGACACTGCAAGACCAGTCCCTGCCTCCAGGGAGGGTGCACCCAATGGGGTGGGCCAGGGTGAAAGCATTTCTTGCAGAGGGGGAGGCAGTACGGTGGAGCAGACAAAGCCTAGCGGGCAGGATGCTCCCACGTGGGCTCTGGCCCGTGGGTCAGTCCTGCTCCCAGGCCTGGCCCGGGAACCATTGTTATCACCCCCATTTTACAGATGCGGAAGCTGAGTCCCAAAGAAGCCAAGAGCCTTCCTGAAGATCACACAGCTGGTGAGCGGTGGAGCTGGGATTCAAAAGACCGCCGAGGGACACCAGCGGCCATGCCCCTAACCCCACCCATGTGTCTCCAGAATGGAAGGCTGGCTGGAGAGTCACCTAGCAAGTGCTCGATAAACATTTGCTGAAGGACCGAATTCAACAAATGTGTGCCTGTGCAGAAATCGCTGAACGGCGTCCGTAGTTCGGCCTCGGTGTCCACAGTTCCACCACCAGGACATGCCCTAATTGTGCCCTTGGCATTGCCCCCGCCACAAACACAGCCCCCGCCACCATTCGGCATCCCTGGGCTCAGTTCATGATAGCAGCAGCCCTTGCAAGGGGAACATGACCACCCCATTGTACAGAGGAGGAAATCGAGGCGAAGCGGCAGCCAGAACCCAGATCTGCCCGCACCTCTCCGGGCCGCCCGCACAGCCTGCTGCCTTTTTAAGATGGAAGCACCCTGGAAGCATAGCCCTTAAGTGTCTGCCTTGGGGCGGCTCTCAGCTGCTACAGGTCACAACACTGAGCTACTGGGAAACGACTGGGGGAGGGGGGTAAAGGGGAAGAGGCTCACGATTTTGGAACACGGGGGGGGGGGTGGAGGGCGAGCGAGCAGGGGGTTGGTGTAGAAGAGTGAAAGGGAAGAAGGGAAGTAGGGTGGGGGGTTCAGAATTAGACCTTCGACACTTCCCCGTTTTTCTTGCCGTGTCTGCGCCTTGAGAGGGAAGAGGCTGGCTCTGCCCCAGAGATGCTGTGTGATGGGGGCCTGTACCCTTTTTGGAGCCACTGGTCCCCAGGGCTCTCTGTCTGGACGTCTTCCCATCTCTGCGCGTGGGCTGAGTGCATAGGAGGGGTTCAGATGGAGGCAGGACTGAGCACTCTATACCTGCAGCCCCCCGTGGTGGCGGCAGGGGGGGGCAGGTGGACACTAGTTGAACCCTTCAGTGGAGCAGACGCTCTCTCAGGCCCCCTGGGCATCCGTGGCCCAGAACTGTCATGGGCACAGCCGATCTGCCCCAAAGCTCACAAGACCCCAGATGCCCAGGCCAAGGTGGCGCCTCCTCTCCTCCATCTCCAGCCCCTGCAGGGACTTCCCTGGATGCCGGCGAATGGAGAACATTTGTTCACTGAGCCCCTGCTGTGTGCCAGGCTCCTGCCGTCACCGGAGCCCGATTTGAATCCGGGCTCGGTGGCTCTCATCGCCTCCGCTCCCGCTGCCTTGCTGAGGGAGGTCCCGCGCCAGGCTCGCTGCCTGTGGGGGGCAGGGGGCTGGTGGACAGGGCTCGGCCAGCCTGCGTGGGCTCCCAGGACCCCAGGTTCCTTTTGGCTCTTAAATGCCTCCTTTTCTGCAGAGATTTCTTCCTTCATCCTCCTCACGCCCGAGTTAGAGGGTGAGACAGGGAGGAGAGGGTGGAGGAAGGATTCCGGGGAGATCGGCACAAGCTCAGGGAAGTCACCCCTGCTGTCTTTCTCCCGCAGGACTGAGGCTTGGGGGGGAGGTGGGCAGTGCGGTCCAGGGGTGCTGGAGGACAGAGCCCAGCAGCACCCTGTCGGCTGTGACTGTTGGGCTACTGTGGGGGGGGGGGCCAACCAGGGAGAAACTGAGGGGGACCTGGGTAGGGACGAGACGATCACGACAAACTGCCTGGGACTTTTGGTGCTTCATTTTCACTTCCCCCAAGTCCTCCTGCCAGCCCCAAGGGACTTGAGGGGGGTTTCTTTGATGACTTCCTCCATGGCTCCCCTCGTCTCTGACTGGCTCTGGCTCTTCCACTGCCTTGATGGGCCCGAGCTTTCCCAGACCCTCAGGTGGGGCCCGCTCCAGGGGCTTCCTCTGGGGGGACGCTGCTGGGACTTTCTCCCTCGGAGTCAGCAGGCACCGCTGGGTTCTCAGGGGCCTCCGGGGTGGGATCCGCGGATGGGGCAGAAGACGCTTCATCACAGGGGCTGAGAGCTGGGCTGGAGGCAGGTCCGGGGGTCTCGGGGCTCACTTGTGGCTGGGCCACAAAGTCCAAATGGGGCTGGGACTCAAGGTTCACCTGTGGCCGAACTGAGGCGTTCAGCTGAGGCTGCATCACAAAATCTGCCTGTGGCTGGGCCACTGAATCCGACCGTGGCTGTGCTGTGGGCTCTGCCTGTGGCTGGGCCACTGAATCCGACCGTGGCTGTGCCGCGGGGTTCCCCCGAGGCTGGGACACAGCGTCCGACCGTGGCTGTGCTACGGGGTTCACCTGGGGCTGGGCCCCAGCCACTGGTCCAGGAAGAGTCTGACTCCCAGAGTCCACTTGGGTCTGTGGCTCCGCTGGCGTGAAGCTTCCAGGCCGTTCTTCACAGAGAGCTGCCGCGAAGGAGGAGAGGACGGCGCGCAGCAGGGCCCGGAGGTCGGCGCTGGCCAGGAGGCAGAGGAAGGGACTGAGGCAGCTGTTGAGCAGGGTCAGGTAGTCGGAGTAGACCAGCGCTTCCCAGAGCAGGTAGCCGGGGTAGACGTCCCACAGGAAGGCCAGGTACAGCAGCTGCGCCAGGTGGTAGGGCAGCCGCAAGACCACGTAGGCTGACAGAATGGCCTTGGCCACACGGGCGAAGCCCCGGCAGGCCGTGGGCCTTGGCCGGCGGCGGCGGCAGGTCCGGGAGGCAGCAGCCTGCGTGAGCACGTGGCAGACGAGAAGCAGGAGGAAAGGCAGGAACCCCCCCAGGATCTCGAGCATCCTCAGCGGCAGCTCCTCGCCGTCCCAGAAGTCCAGGCAGATGACCAGGTCGTACCACCAGACGGCGGCCTCGGGGAAGACCAGCCAGGGCACGCTGAAGAGCGTGGCCAGCACCCAGACCCCGGCGCAGACCCAGAGGGGCAGGCGGGCCGGGCGGCGCCCAGGGTACCAGTGCGGGCACAGGGCCAGCAGGCAGCGGTCCACGCTGAGGGCCGCCAGCAGGAAGAGGCCGGAGGAGTAGGACACACCCCACAGGAAGTAGTAGAAGCGGCAGGCGGCCGTCCCCAGCGGCCAGTGGCCTCCGTGCTGGATCTCCAGGATCTGGAAGGCCGCTGCCGCCAGGAACAGAAAATCAGAGAGGGCCAGGCTGAGCAGCAGCAGGGCGAGCCGCGTGCCCGCTCCCTGCCGGGCCTGTGAGCCGGCCAGCCATGCCATGAGCCCATTGGCTGGCAGCCCCAGGAGCAGAAGGGCCACCAGGAAGACCGTGTCCCAGCCACCCTGGGGGTAGTCGTCTTCATCGTCCGGCTCCGTGCGGGGCCCGTGGCCAGCGGCACCCAGGTTGGCTTCCATAGCAGTGTCCATCCGAGGTCCCCAGTGTGCTGTTGGCCACGGAGCGGGTGCCTGATGAACCAATGAAATCATGAGGGACTGAGTATGAGAGAGGGTGCTGTGTACCTCCAGGCAAGTCACTGTCCCTCTCTGAGCCATCGTCATCACCTTCGGGGCAGTTAGCCTCTGCCAGGGACTCTACACAGATTACCTCGCGTAGTCCTCAGACACTCCATTTTACAGGTGAGGAGAGGAAGGTTCGGAGGATAAGTGACTTGCCCAAGGTCAGAGACAGGACGAGAGGCGCCAGGACTGAGACTCAGACCTAAGCCTTCTGCCACGCGGAATCCCAGTGTGCCCAAGTAGACTGGACCGAGGCTTTTAAACAGATATATACATGTATATACATATATATTTTACAGTTTTTCTGTTTTCCTTATTTAGTTTTAATTTTTTAAATGTTTTTCTATAAAGATGTCATATCCACATCCTTTAAAAACAATTTTTTTTAATGTTTATTTATTTTTGAGAGAGGGAGAGAGAGACAGAGCATGAGTGGGGGAGGGACAGAGAGAGAAGGAGACACAGAATCTAAAGCAGGCTCCAAGCTCTGAGCTGTCACGGGGCTAGAACTCATGAACCGCGAGATCATGACCTGAGCCGAAGTCGGTCACTTAACCAAGTGAACCACCCAGGTGCCCCTTAAATTTTTTTTTAACGTTCATTTATTTTTGAGAGAGACACACACAGAGAGAAACAGAGTGTGAGTGGAAGAGGAGCAGAGAGAGAGAGGGAGACACAGAATCCAAAGCAGACTCCAGGCTCTGAGCTGTCCGCACAGAGCCCGACGTGGGACTCGAACTCATAAGCTACGAGATCATGACCCGAGCTGAAGTTGGACGCTTAACCGACTGAGCTACTCAGGTGCCCCAGTTTTTTCTCTTTAAAAAAAAAATGTTTATTTTTGAGAGAGAGAGAGGGAGAGAGAGAGAGAGAGAGAGAGAGAGAGAGAGCAGGGGAGGGGCAGAGGATCCAAAGCAGGCTCTCTGCTCATAGCAGACAGCCCGACGCGGGGCTCGAACTCACAAACCACGAGATCATGACTTGAACTGAATTCAGGCACTTAACTGACTGAGCCACCCACGTGCCCCTCAAACATATTTTTAAAGCTGGTGAATCTTCAAATAAAATATTACAGTGGAGCCCCGGGGATGCTCTAGGGAAGACAATTTGAAAACCACTCGGTCGGATCATCGGATCATCGGGTCGTCGCGAGCCCCTTTCCTTCTGGTATCCTGGAGTTCAAGTGTTTAAGATTCCAAGAAGGGGAGGCTCGGAGTCCCGTGGGCCTGTAGGAGGCCAAGGGTGGGCAGGAGCCTGGGCCAGAGGAGGCCCTTCCCCACAGCAAGTGCAGCTCATGAACTCAGGGTGAGGTCTGCAACTCAGGGCCCGGCAGCCTGGGGCCGTCCTGGAAGCAGCTGGAGCCCCTTCATCATCCTCGACCCCCACTCCGCCCGCCTTCCCTCCCTGGCCAAGGAGGTTTCCCTTGGAACACGGAGAAAGTCCTCATGGCAGCGCTGAGCCAGGGGAGGAAGTAGGTGCCCCAGAAAGGCTGGATCCTGCCCGTGGCCCATGCTCCAGCCCCTTGGCCTTCAGCCCCGTGGCTTCCTCTCCCCTAGTGCTCAGGCAGACCCCACTCTGCAAGCTCCAGCCTCTACTGGATCAGAGCCCTGGGCTCCCCCGAGCCCCAGCAGGTGAGGCCTGGCTTACCTGTGAGGTGCAGGCCGCTGGCCGGAAGGAACAGGGGCGTGCCTGCCTGCCCAGTGGTCCAGCCATCTGCCGGGCCCCACGCCGGGGCCTGGGACATGGCGCCTGGCGGCGCTAAGGCGGCCGACGTGAAACCCAAGCTGAGAAGACATCAAACATTCATGGGCATGGGGCTGCTCCCTGGGAAACCCTAACCCCGGCTCAGCAGGGCCGAGTGACCAGCCAGGCCACCCCATCCCTGACAGAGCCACGTGGTTAAAACCTCCTCGCCCTGGGCCCCTCTGCCTCAGGGTAGGCTCTGGGTCCCCCCGGAGGCCACCTCCTCCGAAATCACCCCCATGTCCCTCAGTCTCTGTGATCTGGCCTCGCTTCCTCAATTTCACAGACACTCTGCCCCAGCCACGATGTCCCCGTGAGGGGCAATTCCCTCGTCCTTGCTTAGCTGAGTCCTGCTCGTGTCACACAACCCGGCTGAGTCCTTGACTCCAGCAATATTGCCCCCATTTCATAGATCGGGTGACTGAGGCTCAGGGAGGTGAAGTGGTTGGGTGTCCCAGCTCCTGAGGCCACTTAGGAGCCGGAGTCCGAAGCTCACCGTGTCCCGGCACCCTTGTCGCTGAGGGCAGTTCTCTTGACCCATCTGTCTCTGCCCTCAGGCAGAGGGCCGGGATTAGGGCCCGGAGCTGCCTGCCTCACTTACCCTAATCCCCCTCAAGGCTCGATCCCAGGCAGTCAGCTCTCAGGGTAGGGGTGCGTAAGCAGCTTTATGGTCCCTGAGAACCAAGGGTGCTCCCTGGTGCTGCATCGCAGAGTTCTGTCGCCCCTTTCCACATGGCCGCAGAACAGGCGAAGGGGCAGCGTGGCCCAGACCCCCAGAAGCCTCCTGTGGAGGCTGTGGCTTCCGGGAGCGGTGCTGAGGGCCTGCCCTTGACCAGGAGGAGGAGCAAGAAGGACAGGGGACTCGGAGGGTCCCGGAAGGGTGCTGGTGGCTCCGAGGAGCAGACCCCCGTCCCTGGCCCCGAGGCCCCCGGGAGCAGCAAGAGCCTCTCTGGGAATGGAGAAGGGCAGGAGGGGACAGGCCCTGCAGCCCCCAGGCCAGCCGGTCGTCGCCAGTCTCACCGACACCACTCTGGCACGCAGCACGATGCTGCCCAGAAGACATACGGGCCCCTGCTCAACCGCATCTTCGGGAAGGTCAGGTGGGGCCCGGGCTGGGGAGGAGGGGGACACACTTGTGCCCTTGGACTCCGCCCGCCCTGCCCCTAGTACTCAGGCCTCCTAGCGCCTCTGCTCCAGACCCGGGAGCCTGAGCTGTAGAGGCAGGGTTTGGGGAAGGGTTGGTCTTGGGCCTGGCTGGTTTGGGCTAGTCTTCAAACCCAGGATTCTGGGAGAGCTCTGGGCCCCAGGAGCCGGAAGTGGGGGGGGGGGGGTGCCATCTTTTCTCGGGGGGGCGTGGGACTTCAGCTGCCTTCTCCTGCCCTTGTGAGACTGGCCCTACCCAGGCCATCGTGGGCTAGGGCTGGAGGAGGCAGGATGGCCCCCAGGGACATGCTGGACTGTGCCTCTGCAGGACCGCGAGCTGGGCCCCGAGGAGCTGGATGGTGAGTGGCCCTTGCTGGCGGCAGTGGTGGGTGGGAGGTGTCCCTGAGCCGGGCTGCCCGGGCCTGACCTCCCTCCCCTGCAGAGCTTCAGGCCGCCTTTGAAGAGTTTGACACTGACCGTGACGGCTACATCGGCTACCGGGAGCTGGGCACCTGCATGCGGACGCTGGGCTACATGCCCACTGAGATGGAACTCATCGAGGTCTCCCAGCACGTCAAGATGCGAAGTCAGTGGCTGAGCCCCACCGGCCCGGGGCGGGGCGAGGCGGCAGCCATCTGGCTCTCTGTCTCTCTGACCCTCCTGAGGCTCCTGAAAAGAGCCTCCTGAGGTTCAGTGAGACCGACTGTGACAGAACCCTGGCCGCTCCGGGCGATTAAATGTCGGATGGGCGTGCGCTTGTGTGATTATCATTAGCTAAATTGTCAAATATCAGATTCCCTTCATTCCAGGACACCTGCATGTGCTCTGTGGTTTGCAAAATGGGATGTGGCTTACACCTGATGCGAACATTTAGCGCAATGCTTTTCTTTCCCCAAAGCTGTTATTTGACCACCGGTGCTTTTCGTAATCGATGGTGTCTTAGAACGGCGGGACTACGTGGGCATACTCCTTAAGAGGCATTTATGGCTGCCCACGGGGTCCCAGCATGTCAGAGCCACCAACTGCACACCCCCGGAAGCACCTAAGAGTGGGTTCTCTCACCCTTGCCCCGGGATGAGGAAGGAGGTTTAGTAAGTCGCCCAAGGCCGTCGGCACCCAAGGTCACCCACGCCCCATCGACAGCACAGCCAGGGCTTAACTTTAGGGCTGCCTGGTTCCAAACCTTGGCCTCTTTCCCCCTTGACACAGGTCACTGAGAGCACTCAGGCACCTGGCCCTGTCATCTCTGTGGAGAACGGGGCTCTGACCTCCTACCCCCATCCCCGAGGGCATGGATGCTGGGTGCTCCTTCCTGGATGTAGAGCTGGGGAGAGGTGGGCGCCTGTGAAGTCCTTTCTCGGGGCCCCAGCCTTCTCCATTGTGACACTCTGCCTCCGCAGTGGGTGGCCGTGTGGACTTCGAGGAGTTTGTGGAATTGATGGGCCCAAAGCTGAGGGAGGAGACAGCACACATGTTGGGGGTGCGGGAGCTGCGCATCGCCTTCCGAGAGGTGTGGAGCGTGGCCGAGTCGGGTGCTGGGTGGGCAGCTGGGCGGCAGACCTACTGGCCTCCCATCTGGGCCAGAGAGACGGTGGGGGGGGGCCCAGCCTCTGGAGGCCCAGAGCCCTGCAGATGGTGGGACTGGGCCAGGGAGGATTGGAGAGGGGCCATCTCGCTCTCAGCTGGAGGATCCACCCAAGGAGACTTCCTGGAGGAGGGGCCTATTGTCTCAGCCTGGGAGGAGGAGGAGGGTTTCGGTGGGCGAAGGTGGGGACATCCAGGCACAGGATGTGGCAAGGAGGAAATGGGTCCGGGCAGAGCCAGCTTTGGGTGGGAGGGACTGAGCCCTGCTGGGATCCTAGTTTGACAGGGACAGAGATGGACGAATTACAGTGGCAGAGCTGCGGCAGGCAGCACCTGCTCTGCTGGGGGAGCCGCTGGCGGGTCCTGAGCTGGACGAGATGCTCCGAGAAGTGGACCTCAACGGGGATGGCACCGTAGACTTTGACGGTGAGTCTCCTTCCCAGACGACCCCCCACCCCTCCAGCTCCCAGGATGATCCCAGCACGTCCTGGGATCCCTGACCAGGACTGGCCCAAGCCCTGCCCTTCTCTCCTCCAGAGTTTGTGATGATGCTTTTCACCCACTGAAGTTCTAGAAGGGAGAATGCGTTACCCCGCTGGCCCCAGGCCAGCAGGGTTCATGCCGTACGCCCTCCCCCTGAGGCCTCAGAATGGAAGACCACCCAGCAGCCCTCAGGCTTCTTCGGTCCTTGACAACACCTGGCTGGAGAGCCTGCTTGATGTCACCCACCCCCCTTCATTCTCACCTTCCTCCCACCTGAGCTGCCCGGAGGGAACCTGCACTCCGCCGTCCATCATTCTCCAGGGTGAGCAAGATTTGGATCTCTCCACACCCTCGGTGGGTAGCAAGCTCCCCGGCAC